AGCAAGTGACATGACCCTGCCCGGCTGGGACAGGAGGCTGCTCCGGAACGTGTTGTTTCTGTGGCCAGCGAGAGAAACCGCTTCTCTCCCAAACCCAATTGCAACTTCATCCCAAATCTCCCTCTGCAAAACACCTGCTCACATGAGAGTGAGGGAAGTGTGTACAAGACATCGTAAATTGGGAAAGGAACCGGCTCCTGGTCGCAGGAAAATTCAGGAAACCCCAGAAAGCCCTTGAGCACCTTCCAGCAGCCTGCCCGGGGGTGCCACCCCCAGCTGAACTACTGGAGGTCCCTTTGGTGACTCTGGCCACTGCAACTCAAGCACCCCATGGGCTTGGCAGGGAGTTTCCCAAGCTCTCCCACAGCCTGTGAAAGGGATGACCAGAATGATCGTTCAGCCTGATATAATTAACCTGCCACTCCTCAGGGGAAAGGACAAGGGCCACTGCAAGAACTGGCCACCCTAAGGAGGGCTGGACCAGTGTGGGACCCGTCACAGCCGTAACAGAGGACAGGAGAGCAGAGAGCCAAGCTACGGCGGCTGGGACAAGGCTGAGAATTTCCACAATTCCCATCTCCCTTCCTTCGCCAAAGCAGAAGCCACACCACCACCTTCTGGTAATCTCCTCTACTGCATCACCCTCTGCTCCCAACCTGCCTTAAGTAAGCACAAACGAGCCATCGCCGCACTCAGACCACGAGGTCTTACATTCACAAGGAGTCTTTAAAAACCTTCAAAACCAGCAAATTAAAGCAGGTGGAGCATTTTGGCTCCCTTCTGTTGCTTCAGCCCATGATTTATTGGAGCAATTAAGTGCCTCTGTGCACAATCCGCATCGCCTGTTGCAACCGAATGATTTACTGCCCTCACAAGAGAGCACTGCGTGTGAGGTTAAACTAGGAGTGTGAAAAGAATAAGCAATTTATGATTTAGAATGCTTGCAAACATGTGGGGAAAGGCTTCCAGGAGCTTTGCAGGTTGCCCTGGCATCTGCTGCCAGCACTAATTCTCCAGTTTTTAGCTCTGCCTTCCCAGCCTCCCTGGAGAGCTGCCCTCTCGCAGGCACTGTCTCTTGAGGGCGTCCTCAAAGCCTAGCTCTCACCCATGCTGAAGGCCCACGGGAGCGTCCCCAGGGACACCTCGAGGTCCAGCCAGCAGGTGCCGTTCCCAAGTGTCTCAGCCACTGCAGTGGGATGGATGTCCCTGCGCCGACCCCTCTGCCACCAGGCAGGCGTCCTTCTCCAGCTCCATGGAGGCTTCTTCTCTGCTTCCCCTTCCAGGGCGCTCGCTGCCTTTTCTGGTGGGATGCGTTTACAGCCAGCTCAGCTGCCCGAGGCCTCACGGATCAGCAGGGCTGACTCCCGCCCCTCAGATTTCCTCATGCTTTTACTGCAGGCACTACTTAGAGGGCTAAATAAACGCTGCTTTGTGTTTCAGGCCTTTGTCAGCGCTATGACGCGGGCCTAGCCCTGACAGAGACACATACGCCGTTCTACTCCTGCATGGGAGCCTCTCTGAAGGGATGGTAAAGGGTTAACAAAAGGACCTTTGTGAAGCCAACTGTAGATCCATCTTAAATTGCTAGCATTGTGTTTTAGGTAAACTTACTAATCATATGAAATAAACTAGAGGTAAGAAACTAACACTGTAGGGAATGTGGAAGAGGAGAGATTAGTAGGAAATGGCCCATCTTTGTTACAGGCCTTGGAAGGCGTGTAGGAGAACAAAGCGTCGGGCACTTTGTCGATATGAGGATAGCCAGTGTCGGTATGAGGATAGCCAATGTCGGTGTGAGGATAGCCAGTGTCGGTATGAGGATAGCCAATGTCGATATGAGGATAGCCAGTGTCGATATGAGGATAGCCAACATTGATATGAGGATAGCTAACATCGATATGAGGATACCCAACATCGATATGAGGATAGCCAATGTCAGTATGAGGATAGCCAATGTCGATATGAGGATAGCCAGTGTCGATATGAGGATAGCCGACATCGATATGAGGATAGCCAACATCGATAGGAGGATAGCCAATGTCGATATGAGGATAGCCAGTGTCGATATGAGGATAGCCAACATTGATATGAGGATAGCTAACATCGATATGAGGATACCCAACATCGATATGAGGATAGCCAATGTCAGTATGAGGATAGCCAATGTCGATAAGA